CTGTGAACACACGCACACACACACATACACACACACACACACAATGAAATTAAATACATCAAAGCCACAAGCCTGCAGTCAAACAAGCAGCTCCGGGACTTGAGGAAGAGTATGTGTTCCTCTCACCACATCCTGCCCTAAAGGTGCCCACTAACAAAACATACAAAATAATTATGAGTCTACACACTCTAATATGCCCGCCATAATACGATCCGACTGCAGGGGATTTCAGGAGGAAATTGCATATTGTATCTACCTCGAAGAGGATGTAGGAAAGCCCCTTATCACATCATCTCATATTTAGGCTGATTTTCAGGGCTTGTGATTGATGAGGTTCACAGTTCCCTACATTCAGTGAGTGCAGTCTGTGAAATATCACCCTCTAGAACAGGGGTTCCCAACCTTTTTTCTCAAGAGCCCCCCTAAATGACTCCTGTTGGAAGCTGCGCCCCCCCCCCCCCCCCCCCACACACACACAAGGGGGGGGGGACCGCAGCAGAGGTAATTAAAGTTTAAAAGTCTCAAAAAGCTACAACTACTGTCACAAACTGGATGAATGTGAAGTATGTTGTTAAAGGAGGATGAAAGCGTAATCAAGGAGCACTATTGGAGTGACTTTGATGGTTATTGGACTCAGGATTAATTCATTTGGATTCCCGCTGTATGAAGAAATGAAAGGACGGCGCAAGTGGAAACAATTCACAAAGGGATTAAACTGTTTAAAACACATGCTCAAAGTAAGCCGGATTTTGCCGATGTGTTTATGTGGATTCAAAAGTCGTAAATAATCTACAAAATGGAGGAGACCGATCTGATCGGAGCAACTGACAAATAATCCAACTGAAACCGGCATGGACAATGACTGTTTTAAAAATGCGCTTATCCAGACAAGCCTGGTTTGGACACTTTACGGCAGAAGAAACATTTCTATAGAAAGAATTATACATTTGTCTTTTTATGCCTTTAATACTAACTTGAATTTGTATTCAAATTAATTAATCAACAATTTTTTATATTTTATTGTAATGTAGAGACGAGGCTTTTAGTGACAATCATGTATTGCGTTACAATTATATGTAAAAAAAAAAAATTATAAATATGATATTTGGCCTCAAATCATCTGAGGCCTGGTGCCCCCCCTGCGATCTTTGGCGCCCCCCAGGTTGGGAACCACTGCTCTAGACAATACTGTTTTGTCTTTTGTGGGCAGGAGATTAGACTTATATTCCTTTTCTGTAAAACCACATCCAAACATTTCCATACATGCAAAGAACACAGTTTAAGAATCCCTGTGTGCGTCTAAACTAAAGCAATCATGTTATATTTGGCAATTGGTCAAATCTCTAGAAATGTGTTGGTAGTACTACACTTCAAGAACAACAATTATTGTGGCATTATCCTTCAGCAAAGGTCATAGTCTTAACTCCAGTAATCCTTTTAGAGAGGAAGCTCAGTGTAATATGTGTTTAAATTCACAGAAATAACAGGGACAAATCAAAGAAAATCCATCTGTGCCAAAAAAGTCAGCAGAACACTGAACACATCTCTTCTCCAGCTCCTTTTATTCTTGTGTAACTTCCTCTCTCCTTGTGCTCTGTGTCTCTTCCTTCACTTGACCTGGCACATTATGAGGAGAACCTCCAACCACTTACTAACCTCACCACAGTCCCTCAACTATTCTCAACTCCTCTCGGAAACAAACACACACACCTGACCTGTTCCCTCTGCTCTTCTTCTACACACACACAATTTGGCAGGAGCATATTAAGAGCCTAGCAGTTACAAGATGAAAGAAGACAGCCATGTGTTAGTCTAGATAAGACATGCATGGGTCAGGGGAGTATTTTGGGACTCTGCTTTCAGTAGACTCCTCAGTGACCCCTGTGTGTGCCCCTGAAGATATGCTATCTGCAAAGAAGAAGATGGTCACACAGAAAGCTCAGATAACCTTCACTGTGGCGTTCAGCAGACACAAGGTGAACCTCCTCTGTGCCTTTCCTTCACTTTCATTTTGTATCTCTATTTATCCAGGCGAGGTTAACTGAAGGCACAAACACACTATTTATTTTATTAGCACCCTGCCTCAAATTCACACAGCTCGACATGACTCATCAGGGCGCCCTTCAGTACACTCGAGCTGCAGCAGCGAGTCTCTGCAGGTGCACAGGTGCTGGATGAGGGGTAAGTGATTTCCAGCCATGGAGCTCATTCACAATACTGTATGTCACAAGCCGAAAGAAAAGAGAAACCCTTCAAAGTTAACACAGGGCTCCTGCTGGTTCAGAAAGGGAAACCATTTGTCATGTCACACTCTTTATTTTCTGAGTGGTTCCAATGGATTTAAAGTATCTCAATTATATTTCCCGGGCGTACATAATACCTTGCATGCATGACAGAAGTCAGATGTGTTTCCTATATCACAAAATACAGTTTAAATGTGCATTATGTCCAATGGTAATCCAGCACCAGACACTTTTTACGCTGCTATGGACTATCTTGCACTAATGTACATTTCCCAAAGATAAGGAAGTGACTGTTATTTTGTATATATTGATTGTTGTGCTTTTATTTCTTAATGTGTGCATATGTATAAATGTGTCTGTTGATTATACATATTTTTAAATATGTTTGTTATTGTATTCAGGATTGTGGGAAATTGTATTTTGATCTTTCTGTCTGTACACACAAACGGAAAGATTGACAATAACGTTGACTTTGATTTTTAGATTTTGTAAGGCTATCTTTCCTAAATGTTGGATTAAATAGCAACATTACTCAAGACTAGAAAAAAACACTGCATAACCGTCTCATAGACTGACCACTGATGTTACTACAATAAACCCCATACAACCAATTGCTAAGAGAAACACCTGAAAGAATACCAACTGGTAAATATGAATGAACTTAATATTCCCTGGTGCTAGCATCATTCTCAGGTTCTGTCCAAAATCCATCTCTTTTGTTTTGAAATCTTCTAAATCCTCCTTCACATCTTGTGCTGCATGATGGTCCTTCAGTAAAGGGTTCCCAAATGCCCGTGGTCCTGGCTCAGGATAACACACACACACACACACACACACACACACACACACACACACACACACACACACACACACACACACACACACACACACACACACACACACACACACACACACACACACACACACACACACACACACACACACACACACACACACACACACACACACACACCATGTATGCATCACTTCAGGGGACATTACATTGATTTACATACATTTCCTGGAGACTTATCTTAACCATAACCAACACATGCCTAACCCTTACCCTAACCAAGTCTTCACCCTAAAATTAATGATCCCCCTCATGGGGACCTCCATTGTGTCCCCATAAGGGAGGCGAGTCCCCACACGTGACTGTGTAAACAGATTTAGGTCCCCACAAGTATAGTAATGCTAGGCCCCACACACACACCAACACACACCACACACACACACACACACACACACACACACACACACACCACACACACACACACACACACACACACCCACACACACACACACACACACACACACACACACACACACACACACACAACCACACAACACACACACACCACACACACACACACACACACACACACACATCACACACACACACACACACACACACACACACACACACACAACCTTACAATGTAAACCTTTCTGCAGCTTTAAAACCTGATATCCCCTTAAGCGTATTTCATATTTGGATATTATAAAAAAAAACTGTGAATACGGTATATCTACTAAGGATTTGGCTGACTGCGTGCAGAAGACTTAACTTCCTTTTGTCCACCAGACACTTGTCTCTCATTGCCCGTCAAGGTATAAGAGATAGAAAGGGAGAGAGAACAAAATCAGTTTTTAGCTCCACCCAAAAGCTCTATCCCCATTTCCCACTTTCCTTCTTTTATTTCTCTATTGTGTTCATCCCGCTAGTCGGCACTTCTGTGCTTGGCTGAATGAACAGCTCAATTCAAAGGCATTAATATGCAGAGTGGGGGACTGAAGGTAGCATAGTGGAGAGGAGAGGAGAAGGAGGAAAAGTTGTGGATGCTCGTAAAAGTCTGCTTAGTCAACCATTTAATTCCCTCTCCTCCAAAGTCAAATCATTAACAAGCAACCCAATGAGTAATTGGGAATTTGGTGGCTGTGTGTGTGTCACTTCATGGAGTATGTGTGTGTGTGACCGTTTATGTCAGTGAGTGTGTGTGTTAGGCAACTTAAGAGCTTAGACACTTTGAAGTTTTTTTGTTTAATCAAGAACTGAGGTAATTGGCGGCAACAAAGGCCACCGAGTGCCCGAGGCACCGCTCAGTTTTCATTCGCTGCATGTCCATGAGTGCACATGATGTTATGGATTTTGTGTGTTCATCAAAACAACTTTCAAAATGTTCTGCAGTATTCCATGAAATAAATAAATAAAATGACGAAAAAGGATAACTTCTATTTTTTATATTCCTGCAAGATTCTAACAGTCTGTGTTTTAAAAGAATAAATAAGCAACGAAGGAAGGAATTCATAGCAGCGCACATGATTCAAGCAATCCATGAGATCAGTGGAGGAAAAGCAATGAGAGGAAAGTCGGGAAACAAAAGTAATGAGGGAAGCTGAGAGCCAGCCAGAGTCCTTGTTGGGCATTTGGGCTGCTGTCAATCAAGAAACAACAAACCAATCACTTCAGCTGGTCAACAGATACCCCAGTGGTCTGCTCTGCAACACACACACACACACACACACACACACACACACACACACACACACACACACACACACACCACACACACACACACACACACACACAACACACACACACACACACACACACACACACACACACACACACACACACACACACACACACACACACACACACACCACACACACACACACACACACACACACACACACACACACACACACACACACACACACACACACACACACACACACCACACACACACACACACA